TAGAATATGGACAACTGCAGGCGGGTTTGCAGGATTATATAAATTTAAGTATTTAAAAAAAATAAAAGCATTTTGCACGTTACTCAATCTTACACATTTCGTTTTAGATTTCCTATATGTTTTTCGATTTTAACAACCTTCCACAGTAATTAACTTTACTATTACGGCGATACGCTCGCTCACTTACACAGAATCATTTGTTTTTAGGCAAATCATATAAACGATGAATAAGAATTTCATGGCTGTACATTTATCGCAGGGCCAAGCTAGCGTATAGGGGCCAAGGGGGGAGGGGCAGTTGCCACGCCCCAAGAGAAGTATAGATACAGTACGTGGATGATGGCGGTCACATTCACAGAATACACCACGCACGTAACTTTGCCTCCCTCCCGGAACAAAATTGGTTAGCTCATGTATTGCGACATCGCTTTATGTTATCGAGATACGATAAAATCGGGTTCATAAACAGTTTATAATGAATTGAATCATTTTATTCTTTTTTGTTATGAAGGTACGAATTAAAAGTTCTCTCGTCGAATTCCATGTAAGAATGATATCTAAAAAGTCCTTGTTTCTCTGTTCGCCGTGTTTCCTCTGAACCAATTTAGAACAAATTTTAAAGCATACCAGCACTATTTTAAACGTCCATTCTCGGAACTAAGCAATGGATGGTTCGTAGTGGTCGACGGTCGTGTGGAAGTATTCGGTCACGCAGAAAGGCGAGCCATTGCGGAACTTACCGACTGCCAACGCGTCGATTATGGTTCGTGACAGTTTCCACAAAGGGTTTTTCGGGCAGATAGTAAATCCGCAATCCGTCACGGAACACAGGACATGCCTGGATTTCTAGGAACCATCGCGCTTTGAATGAATATAAACGGAACTAGTCAACCGTTGTCGTACATTCTGTAGACGGAGTGCCGTCACGCTGCAAGTTTTACGGATAGCTCTGCTCCGCGAGAAACTCCAAACGTTGATTTCACAGTGACATATCAACGTGTTTTGCTCTCGTATAGGAGATATATCGAATATCGATAGGGTGACTTCAGCAGTTAATAATAATATGAATAACACACATCACGGTGTGAATCGTGACTGAAAACCAGCAAAGGCTTTGGATATCTATTGACCTACTTGAATATGTTTAGGTCGGTAGACCGCCGCCGGACCGCGAGTGGCGCTTGGATCGCGTTAATTGTTCTTGTGCAGTTGTTAAGGTAACATATAGGTGCCTATTGTCATCGACATATTATACATACCGGTACTCATGAACCTATTATAGATAGCTAGGTTTATGGTATTACTTTAACATTTTTCTGAATGAATCCACAAAATGGAATATATTTAAATGTATATGTAAATTAATAGTAATAGCATATATGTGTTTAATGCACGTCCGTAGACTTACATAAGTATGTCGCCGTAACAAATCCCTGCTCCAAGCCCGTGTCTAAAGTCGGTAAACAATACTAATATTTGCAACTAAAAGCCTTATACTAACAGTTATACAACATTTACAGAACAACAAAAAATAAATTATAGTACACGAAAACCACGTTTTATTATTATACAGTTTTGTCATATCTGGAAATAAGAGCAAACATGTCGGCTGAAAAATGTTTAATGGTTTGAAATTTCCGTTAAAGAGATCTGATAAATTTGTATTGGTAAATTTTTGGCAATTCGCACACATAATGCCTAACACAAGCCTAATACGTAAGAATTTGCTTACTATACAACGACGTTTTTTTCATGATTAAAAGTTAAGCTCGATTCAAGTAAAGATCTTTTATTATTTCTGTCATCCGAATTACCACATTGATGCATTGAACACATTGAAGGAAAAAGTTTTAATGTTTAATTCGTTATTTAGGTGACCCGGTTTTGGCCGCTGGAACGTGGCCATGGCAGGCTCTGGTGTTAAACGAAGGCAACGCCCACTGTGGCGGATCCCTCATCAACCCGTGTCACGTGCTCACGGCGAAGCACTGCGTTCAAGGTCGCGTCCCTACAAAGATGGCCGTCGTGATGGGAGAGCACCAGCGTTCTGTGGCCGAAGGTCGAGAGCAGACGCGGAGAGTAATCCGCTTTATTCAACACCCGTCGTGGGACCTCGCCATTCTTCAGCTAGAGCAGAGCTTTACGATTAACCAGTTTGTGAAGCCCGTCGATCTAGCAACCGCAGAGCCTACGATACCCAGTCAGACCATAGTCACCGGATGGGGTCAAATCGATTCGAACAAGTCGATCGGCGGTAGGTTGGCCGATACGCTGCAGTTTCTACAGATTCCGATCGTTGACAAGTCCAAATGTATCGCCGAGGGCATTGCTGTGTCTTCGGAGAAGTTCTGCGCAGGCAAAGCTACGGGACTGTACGCCAACGCCTGCTATGGTGATTCTGGTGGACCTTTGGTGCAACAGAGACAGGGCAAATATCAGCAGGTGGGGGTCGTTCAGGGTGGGAAAGCGGGCTGTCCGGACAACAGTCACTACGCGGTGTATGTGAGCGTCCCGCAGGCTTACAGCTGGATAAAGCAACAGGTTCCAACCACTACGATACAACCACCGCAAGGAGGGACGACACTGTTTGGCCTGGTTTCACGATTTGCTGCGCTGGACAGGGGATCGAGCTCATATAGCATCACTCAAAAATGCTGAGAACATATTTGTTTTCCGTAACTTTATTTATGGCATTGTGTTTTGCGTCACACATGTTCCTATATTTAACTATATCTGTGATATGTATGTAAGAGTTTATGACATGATCGATCTCGTGGTGTATGACTCATTGACGTTTCACTCGCTGCATTACCAAAAGTTTTTATAGTGCATTAGAATATGGCCAACTGCAGGCGGGTTTGCAGGATTATATAAATTTAAGTATTTAAAAATAAAAGCATTTTGCACGTTACTCAATCTTACACATTTCGTTTTAGATTTCCTATATGTTTTTCGATTTTAACAACCTTCCACAGTAATTAACTTTACTATTACGGCGATACGCTCGCTCACTTACACAGAATCATTTGTTTTTAGGCAAATCATATAAACGATAAATAAGAATTTCATGGCTGCACATTTATCGCAGGGCCAAGCTAGCGTATAGGGGCCAAGGGGGGAGGGGCAGTTGCCACGCCCCAAGAGAAGTATAGATACAGTACGTGGGTGATGGCGATCGCATTCACAGAATACACCACGCACGTAACTTTGCCTCCCTCCCGGAACAAAATTGGTTAGCTCCTGTATTGCGACATCGCTTTATGTTATCGAGATACGATATAATCGGGTTCATAAACAGTTTATAATGAATTGAATCATTTTATTCATTATTTTTATGAAGGGACGAATTAAAAGTTCTCTCGTCGAATTCCATGTGAGAATGCTATCTAAAAAGTCCTTGTTTCTCTGTTCGCCGTGTTTCCTCTGAACCAATTTAGAACAAATTTTAAAGCATGCCAGCACTATTTTTAACGTCCGTTCTCGGAACTAAGCGATAGATGGTTCGTAGTTGTTGACGGTCGTGTGGAAGTATTCGGTCACGCAGAAAGGCGAGCCATTGCGGAACTTACCGACGGCCAACGCGTCGATTATGGTTCGTGACAGTTTCCACAAAGGGTTTTTCGGGCAGATAGTAAATCCGCAATCCGTCACGGAACACAGGACATGCCAGGATTTCTAGGAACCTTCGCGCTTTGAATGAATATAAACGGAAATAGTCAACCGTTGTCGTACATTCTGTAGACGGAGTGCCGTCACGCTGCAAGTTTTACGGATAGCTCGGCTCCGCGAGAAACTTCAAACGTTGATTTCACAGTGACATATCAACGTGTTTTCCTCTCGTATAGGAGATATATCGATAGGGTGACTTCAGCAGTTAATAATAATATGAATAACACACATCACGGTGTGAATCGTGACTGAAAACCAGCAAAGGCTTTGGATATTTATTGACCTACTTGAATATGTTTAGGTCGGTAGACCGCCGCCGGACCGCGAGTGGCGCTTGGATCGCGCTAATTGTTCTTGTGCAGCTGTTAAGGTAACATATAGGTGCCTATTGTCATCGACATATTATACATACCGGTACTCATGAACCTATTATAGATAGCTAGGTTTATGGTATTACTTTAACATTTTTCTGAATGAATCCACAAAATGGAATATATTTAAATGTATATGTAAATTAATAGTAATAGCATATATGTGTTTAATACACGTCCGTAGACTTACATTAACAGTTTAAATAAATAAGTAAATAAATAAATAAATAAATAAATATATATATATATATATATATATATATATATATATATATTTATTTATTTACTTATTTATTTAAACTGTTAATGTAAGTCTACGGACGTGCATTAAACACATATATGCTATTACTTATCACAACGTTTAGCAGTGATTCTATATATTCATGTTATTGCAGATATTGCAATGACGACGGTGGGAATTAGCTTTGAGCTACACAAAATTATTAATTTTGTTAGCGAACACAATTTTACATCTAAGCTCTTTCTTAACTGTACATAACCGTGTGCTTTATGTATTGCTAAATGTTGATTTTTATTATTTTCTTCTTGTTTTATTCTGTTCACAGGCCCGCTAAATTGCAGAAATTTCATTCGGATACTATCCATGCAGTCATTCGAGGTAAATATCTACCTTGCCTTATGAAGAAGATATACGAAGTTTTATGCTTTGCATCCTTTAGTCATTTTAATTTATATCGATGATCCTTATTGCTAGGTAAAATTCTGTTAGATAATAAGTTTGCTAAAGCATGCAGTATTACGATAATAGCTTGAGCAGGTGACACAGGAAAGGCAACTTAAAACCATGAGTTTCATATAAGAACTGTAGTTTAAATATGATCGAGGAATTGCGATCGCATCTCGCGTGAAACAACACCACGTTTCTAATTATTAAATGTTCACTTCTCATTAGGTTCACCGGTCATACAAGAAGCGACGTGGCCATGGCAGGCTCTGGTGTTAAACGAAGGCAACGCCCACTGTGGCGGATCCCTCATCAACCCGTGTCACGTGCTCACGGCGAAGCACTGCGTTGAAGGTCGCGACCCTACAAAGATGGCCGTCGTGATGGGAGAGCACCAGCGTTCTGTGGTCGAAGGTCGAGAGCAGACGAGAAATGTCCTCCGCTTCATTCCACATCCGTCGTGGGATCTCGCCATTCTCCAGCTTAGTGCGAGCTTCAACCTACCGGATCGCGTGCGTGCTGTCAAAATAAAACTTCGCCTATCAGACACAGGGTCTGAACTGAAAATTGAGACTGATTCTAAGAACAGGCGCAATTATATGTCTGCGTTCACGCCGCGCGTTGATCAATAGGACCTATCAGTATTCCTAAGTGGAACATAAGTATGGCGAATAAGTGACGGCATTGAGTGATTTAAATAATGTGTAAGTGAGAGACCTCAATTACAGATAGATGATAAAACGTATAATAATATAATAGAGTAATACAAAAAATATTTTTTATTATTCCGACATATATGATATATACACATATTCATATAAATATGTCAAATGACAGAGAATCGGCATTCTTTAAGTTATTTAATATTCCAATAGTATTCGTATAGTTAGTAACTAAATATTATTTAACGCGTAAAATTGGCATTACCGCTTTCATAATACACAAATAAGCTAAGGCACACACGCGGAAATAAAATTACGTTACATATGACGTACTAATATATATATATATATATTATATATATTATTATAATATAATATATATATATATATATAATATATGCAAGAGAGAAGAGCAGAGAGGCGCGATTAACCTGTAAAATGAATTGTAAATAATGATCTTTGTTTTTATTGAAACACGCGTTATTGCGATATTTTTAAAGTAGTTCTAGCGTTTCATTTGTGTCGATCCGTGTGTGTCTTAACTTGTAGGCTGTTGTGTTCGTGTGCGTTGGGCGTGGCGTGTGGCGTGTGTGCGTCTCTAGTCATTTTTTTTTTTTTTTTTTTTTTTTTTTTTTTTTTTTTCTTTTGTTTTTTTGAGTGATGCTATATAGCTCGATGTCCTGTCCAGCCCAGCAAAACGTGAAACCAGGCCAAACAGTGTCGTCCTCCTTGCGGTGGTTGTATCGTAGTGGTTGGAACCTGTTGCTTTATCCAGCCTGTAAGCCTGCGGGACGCTCACATACACCGCGTAGTGACTGTTGTCCGGACAGCCGCTTTCCCACCCTGAACGACCCCCACCTGCTGATATTTGCCCTGTCTCCGTTTGCACCAAAGTCCACCAGAATCACCATAGCAGGCGTTGGCGTACAGTCCCGTACTTTGCCTGCGCACAGCTGCTCGGAAGAAACAGGAATACCCTCGGCTATACACTGGGACTTGTCAGCGATCGGAATCTCTAGAAACTGCAGCGTATCGGCCAACCTACCGCCGATTACCTTGTTCGGATCGATCTGACCCCATCCGGTGACCGTAGCTAAGCTGATATCGTAGGTTCCACGGTTGCTAGATCGACGGGCTTCACATTGCGGTTA